GGAGCAAACATATGCCATATACGCCAGGTCGCTTGAAACATAAGCTGTGCAGATGTTTCTTCCCTGCAGCGACTGTGTCAAGCAGCAAGGGTGGACTGGCTTCCGGCACCTGCCCCCCACCCTCCCTGCTTCCTTTGCTGTAACCCAGGCAAGAGAACACACATTCTTCCTCTGCGCCTTTGCTCAGTCTGTTCCCTCCTCTGGGAATGCCCTCCCTGGGATCTCTGGTGTCTAAATCTTACCTACCCCTTAGGGTCTAGCTCATCTGTCCCCTCCATGAACACTCCACTGATTTCTCCCCTTGTCCCAACTGAAATCGGTTCCTTTCTCCCAGCTATGGGATCTCACTACCTTTCACCACCATGATGGCATTTGGAAAGTTCTACTGCATGTGTCTGCCTTGCCCTCGGAGGTGCAGTTGTTCTGGCAGATCAGAAGTGCTCCCCAAAGCCCCTTTTTTCACCTGCCCGGTGAAGCCTCAGGACAGAAAGTGGTCCATGGGGATGGGGTGGTTTCTGAAGAAAAGATAGGCTCAGGATTTCTGAACCCTGCCATGCCAAACACTGCAGCTGGATCACCGGGAGAATGGCTCAACGTGGTACCTAACATTAGAGTTACATGTTTGTCTTTGTTCGTAACCCAGAGGGTTCCCACCAGAAAATCGGAGACTTGGGTCCAGATCCCACCTCTGTCACTTGCTAGCGGTGTGGCCATGGGCCGGGTACCTAGCTTCCGCTTCTGGCAACAGTACCTGCTTCAGAGGCAGTGCTAAGGTAAGATTGAGATGAAGCACAGGGCCCTGCATATGGTCATCGCTCGATGGACACCAGCTATTGTGAAGAGGGACTGCCACCTTGAATTACCCCAAAATGGTAAATCAATACTAAAATGCTCATGCTGACTCTGCTTAGAGGTGGGCCAGGGGAGTTTGGGCCAAGAAGAGGTAAGCATTTTTGTGTGTGTGTGCTCAGAAAGGCCTGTGAGGCTTTCTTCAACTCTAAACCACCCGTTGCCTTTGCAGTAAGAGCTAGAATTGCTTTTCTATTTTTTTGCTTTCAAAATTGATGGGCTTTGAGTTCTGTGAGGATCCGCAGTTTGTACAATTGTAAGTAATTATGAAACTTAATGATATGAGGAAATAAGAGTGTGTGTTGCTGCTTCAGGCCTAAGTCGGGGGGCAAGAAGTCTGAATCAAAGGTAATGTGTGGATTTGGAGGGAAGGAAAGCAAGCATGAGTGTTTTCTCCTGGCAGGCTAGTAAGCCTTTAGCATAGAATCAACTTCCTTGTCAAAGTATTTAGAATATGCTGGAAAACTAATTCTGCAGGTTGATTAAAAAAATATTTTAGAATTTCTCCTAAATTGATTCTTTATTAGAATAAGTTAGAATCCCATTTGAGAATTTAATGACTGTTGAGTTTAGGTATTTTAAGACATAAATGTTGTGAATTTCACAGTTCTGTGGAATTTAACAGGCTATAGGACTTTTCTTTATTACTGTGACCCTGTAGGGACATAAACACTTATTTTGTACTGTCCCATATCGTGGCCACTGGCCACTGTGTGGCTATTTAAATTAAAATTAATTCAAGTTAAATAAAACTAAAAATTCTGTTTATCAGTTACACTAGGCACATGTCAAGTGCTCTGATAGCCACGGGGCTGGCAGTACTATGTGAGGCAGAGGAGATAGAGAACATTTCTATTTTCACAGAAAGTTCTGTGGGGCTGGACTGTTTAGATCAATGAGGCCATGGGGAAGCTGCTTGGTTATTAAGTTCCGTTCTTTCTGGCAAGTCATCTGCAGGCCAAGAAATGGAGTGTGGAGAGGACGTTTCATTGTCAAGAGTGGAGATGGTAATAAATCCCCATAGCCTCCTTTTGGCTGTCTGGCTCAGCTGCGTTTACACTGCCAGATTCAAAGGAGGGGGCAGAGGGCCCATCAAATGAAATGCCTGGGGGCAGTATTTCTCCATCCCTGCTGCCTGTTCCAACTGCCTAGGGAACTTTTTAAAAAGTGCTCCTGCCTGTGCTTTGCCCCGGCCAGCTAATCTGAAGCTCCCGGTGGGGCCCAGGAATTCCTATTTTTAAAAAGCTCCCTGGGGGATTCTAATGTGTAGCCAGGGCTGAAAACAACTGCCTTCAAAACTGTGAATTAAAAAAAAAAAAAAAAAAAAAAAAAAAAAAAAAAAAGGCCCTGAG